CCGGGATTCCTCCTTTTTAATCCTCTAAAATTTGGTGACAAAAAAGCGAGTATCCCCGGATTTCAAATAATAAACTGCTAATACTCTCGGAATTCAAACGAGGAGTTGTGGGTACTCTCGAAATTCGGACATGAGCTGCGAGAACTTTCGGATTTCAAATGATAAGCTGCTAATATTCTTGAAATCCAGATAGTGAGCTGCAAATACACTTGGATTTTAAACAGTTTGCAAAAGCTGGCAACAATCCACAGCTGCATCCAGGATCAGGGGGAATGTGTTGCATAGCAAATGAATACTTTCACAGATTTTTCACTAATGAACACTGCATTCTCAATTTAGCGAATAAGAAAACTTGCGAGACAGCAGAGTTCCCCGATATGCTAATTTTGACCTGATTTCTCGTCTAAATGGAATTTCTACGTAATACTGACGAAACCGTAAAACTTACAAAACAGAAGATTTGTAAAAAGTAGAAGCAAGCATGCGTACATAAAGTGCCGAATGTATATACACAACAGTAAGGGACGAGGAGGCGAGAAGTGGCGACAGACTACTCGGTGTTACCTCCATCGTTGCGAACACCAGAAATAAGCAATCACAAGTTGCTAGCGCCAACAGCAAATTCCTAAAAACAAACTAAACTTCGTTAAAAGCCCTAGGCCAGCAAAAGTTCTTTTCGCAAACAAAACAAAAAAAATTTAGACAAAAAATGCATTAGCAAATAATTTTTTTTATTTTTCGAGCAAAATTTTCTAAAAAATGCCAAAAATAAAAAAAAAACCTTCAAAGCATTCAGTGCGGGTATTCCGTCTTACCGATTTTACCGCAATAAAATTGTAAATAGTAGAAAAATTTTGAAATTTCACTGAATGATAAAGTGGCGTCAAAAATTTAGCGATTGAGAGTAAAGAGCCCACCCCAGCGTTTTCACGCATTTCGTGAGGTTCGTTTGAAATTTCCTCTTGTGTGTTTGCTTTTTTTCAGCATGCGCTTATTCCTTCAGTTACATCCACTAAAAACCGTGAAATCATTTCTGGACAGGACGGAGGAGGGAGCGTAACAATTCAATCAGCAAAAAATCCATTACCAAGATGGGATACGCCGTGCGGAGGAATTGGTTGAGAGAATCAGGATATTAA